GGCAGGAGACAAGACATTCTTTTTTGTCTCTCTCTCACACACACACACACAGGATACAGACGTTACTGGGATTCAGAGCTCTACACATGTCCTGAGACAGTCACACACACACACACACACACACAACACACAGAGCCAGGCACCCCCTGCGGCACAGACGAAGCCTCAGAGACATACAAGCACACACAGGAGACACAATGTCCCCTGTAGATTTATACAGCCTCATCCAGGTCACTTCTGCCCTGCCCCTTCCAGGCTCTTCTTTACCTGGGCCCAGGGAAAGTCCGATTAACTACCGCGACAGCTAATGCTTTTGTCAGGCACAGCTAAACACTTTAAACTCATTAGTTCATTTAATCTTTGCCACAATCCTATGAAGTTGATATTATTACCCCATTTTAGAAACGAGGAAGCAGATTCAGAGAGATTAAGACACTTGCTTAAGTCACACAGCTGGTGAGTAGCAAAGCTGGGGTCTGGACCCAAATCAGTGTGGCAGTCTTCACCCTGTCTGCTACCCACTGGGAGCAGCCTCCTGGCTTTCCTCTCCGTCTGGAGAGATCTAGGGGAGAATGCGGGGTGTGAAGAAAGGACAAACCCTGGGGGACGCCTAACCTTGGGGCTGGGACAGGAGGGACCCTTAGGGGGCAGCATTACTCCTGGCCTGGACGGAGCTAAGCCGGCTAGGAGAGGTGCCTGAGGAAGGGGGCAGCCTGCCCCAGAAGCTGGGCAGTGGGGTGCTGGGGCCAGGCCACGGGCTTCTGAGGGTGATAAAGCCGGGAACCCAACTGAGACTGCAGATCTGAAGCAGCTCTCTGGCCGGGCTGGCGGCCATTGTTCCCAGCCTCCAATCAGGAGCACCCACTTCCTGTTATTTTAGGCGGCAGGAAATGACCCCATCCCGCAGCCAGGGCCCCACCACGTCCCTCCCTCAGCCCCAGCAGGGCTGCCCATGCTGTTGCCCAGATGCCGAGGGCAGAGGCCCAGCCTCAGGCCAGGGCCTGGAGATGGCCCACGGCTGGACTGTTACCACCACCTGGGTCCAGGGCCTTCTTCTGGTCCAACTTGCTTAGACTCCAACCTGGCAGGATTCGCAGGGGACCCAGGGCTCTGCTGGCTCCACCTCTGCCTGCCAGAGAAAAGATCAGGGGATCCCCAAGACCAAGAGGCCCACAGAGACCAGTCATGGAAAGCAAGCAGGCCAGACCCTGTTACTGGCTGGCTTGGGCCATGATAATTCAGTATAGAGGTGCAGACTTCTGAGTCAGACAGACCTGGGTTCAAATCCTGCCTCTGCCAGTTCCTAGCTGTGTGACTTTAGGCAAGTGACTTCATTTCTCTGAGGCTCATCTGTGAAATGGGGATAATACTAGTCCCTACTCATGGGACCGTCGTGAGGAACACATGAGACAATACACATGACATGCTGAGCTTTGTGCCTGGCACACAGAAGGCCCTTAATAAGTATGAGTGGGAAATAATAAATGGGAGATAACTCAATTCACCAGAGAGTCTATACCTGGCCAACATCTTCCCCTCCTACAACTGGTAAAAGCTAATGGTGGTGGCAATACCATGTTCCCTACCCCCTACCATTCTTTCTGCTCCCCTTGGGGCAGAGCTGCAGCTGAGAGGTGATGGAGGAAACACTGAAGGCTGTGCCCGGGGTGCCAGGCAGAGCTACCACCAGCCAACAAAGCTGCATTATCTAGGCCTGGCTGGTTGGCTCCCTCCCTAGCCCCAAGGCCCAGCAGGGACCCAAGGACATGGTTCCCAGTGGCTTGCCACCCACCTTCCAGGCTTGGGAAGACCTGAGACCTACCCTGAGGGCAGGGTGTCACTGTAGTCTGGGCCCTGCTTTCAGTCCCTACCCCCTTCCCTCAGCCCTGACCCACCATCCTGGGAAGAGGGGGCTGAGCTGGCCCAGTGTCCCTTCCTCCCCATTTGCATATGCGTGACTGCACATTAGGGGCTCATTAGAGGCCTCATTACTGGGCCCACCAGCCCAAGGAGGGACTGGGAAGCTGGCAGTGGGAGGTGCCACCTGGGCTGCCTGCTGTATGCATAGTCCATTGTGCCAGTCTCACCAACTTGTACTCATCCTTTCAGACCCACCTCAAATGCCTCCCCCTCTGTGAAGCCTTCCACAAGCAGAGCCCACTGCCCACTGCGTCACCATCATACCTGGTTTCCCTGCAGTGAACAGACCTTCCTCCAGCACTGGGCTAGGAGCTCACCATGGGTAGGCAGGGACTCTGTCTGATTCACTTCTCTGTCATCCACACAGCATAGGGGTGCTGGACAGCCACCTACACCCATTTCACGGGTCTTCTATTCCCACTACCCCACTTCAGGTACAGGGGCCCCTCTGTTCCCCAGATGCACCCTGGCTCATGTCTGTTTAGAACCCCCTTCCCCTGCCCTTTGCAATACATTTACCTCCTGAAATTCTAATCAATCACATCTCCTCCCCAGGCCTCTGAAGGAACTAAAAATAATAACAAAAAACAGCTGGCATTTATTGAGCACCAACTATGTGGCAGGGCCTAGGCTAAGTGTTTTATGTGTTCATCTAATTTAATGATCCCAGTGTCTCTATGAGACAATTTCTAGCATTATTCTCATTGTATAGATGGGAAAATGTAAGACTTAGGTTAAGTGACTTACCAGAGGTAAGTTAAGAAGCAGAGACTTAAACTGTTTGATTCCAGACTCTACATTCTCAAACTGACTCCCAATTCCTGCTCCCATCCTTCCCCATACTTCCTACCTCCCTGCTGGCACCAGTTGCAACAGGGTAACCACAACAATGGTAATAACACTTTATTGCAGGTGTCTGGTGTCTGTGTGCCAGGTTCCTTTAGTTACGTCATCACTAACCCTCACATTAACCCCACGGGGTTGATAACACTACCCCCATTTTCTAGGGACAGAAACCATGGCTCCAGGAGGTAAGTCACTTGGTCCAGGCCAGTAGCCAGTAAATGGCTAACTGTGATTTCCATCCAGGTCTTCTGACCCAAAAGTGGGCACCACACTTGTCCCCTACTCCACGCTGCCTCCTGTTACTGCTCAGTGTGCAAGTGTGCAAAGGGAACTCAGAGGGGGCAGAGATTGGATCATGTCACTTGCACTCAGGGTCTGGGAGCCATGCCTCAAACTCTCACAGGGCACACGCTGTGGCCACAAAGCCCTTGCCTCACAGGGGACTCCTGTCACCTTCAACTCCTCTCCGTGTAGGGACCGGCCACCATCCTGATCCAGATTCTCACGTAACTCCATCTAGACCCCTGTGCATAGAAGCGTCTTCCTTATCCAGGGCCCTGTGGACAGTCCCCCACACCACCCAGGCCCCCAGTACAGCCAAGCATCCCATCCATGCCCTCATATTCAGTCCAGGCATCTACCCAAGTGTCCTAATATATACTAGCCACCACCCCCATTCAGGCCCCTGTGTACACACCAGTGCTAGGGACCCTCAGGTGCAGAGGGCCAGTAAGCAGATGCATGGACCCAGGCCGGGCCTCCTGGGGTGTCCCCTCTCAGTCTCAGCCTAGCCAAGACAGACCCAGGCACCCTTGTTCCCAACACAGCCTACAACCCCCCCAAAACCCACCAGTCTGATGGTAGCCCCCCCTCCAGCTCCTATACCCACACATTCCCAGGGAAGCACCCATGCTGGCATGGGGAGGAGCCCACCCACAGCCAAGCAGCCCCACCTTATCCTGAGCTCTCTGCACCCACAGATACTGTTTCATCTGGGCCCACACCCCAGAGGACAGGGAGGTGACAGGATTAGTCTCAGGGACTCCATGGGGGTGTAGGGATGGGGCCACCTCTCCCCTGAGTCAGTGGGAACAGAATTTGGGTCCTAAGGAATCATGCTCTTCTCTCCCCTTCTAGGAAGAAAGAGTAATTGCCTCCATCCAACACCAGGTCCAAGCAGAAACTTGTTCCCACCCCCTCATCAGCTGCTACCACGTCCCAGTGGGATTTGCAGGAGTCCTGGGCACTGGTGGTTGGTGGAGTGAGGGGAGGAGAGCTTTGGTGGTGGTCTGGGGTGTGGGGAGGGACAGAGAGAGAAAGAGAGAGAGAGGGAGAGACTAGGGGAGGTATCCAAAGCCTCAGGCTGGGGAATGATGTGGCAGGTCCCGGAGGGAGCGCCGGCCTTGAGCTTTTACCTCATTCTCCAAAGAGATTCAGGCCCAGAGAGGCCGGGAAGGAGGGCGAGCAGGATAAGCAGATTTACTTCTGTCCCCCTCCTCCCCAAGTCGGGCTGGGTGGGCTCTGGAGTAGGCCTGGCTGCAGGGGAGGCGGCCCACTCCCCAGCTCCCGCCCTCGCCCCAAACAATGCCGCCTCCCCCTCCCCCTCGCCTTTATCCGGCGGGTTACTTGGCAGCCGCCGCTAGAGACCTCCCTCTCCCCTCCCCTCCCCTCCCGGCCGGCCCGCGGCAGCAGCAGGCCCTTTGCGCGGCAGCTGGACGGATGGGGTGGGGGCGAGGTCTGGGCCAGGCCCCGGGGGCGGGAGCACCAGGGACTGGGCTTCGCTATGCCGGGCGCCAGGCCGGAGATTCCGGATCCCAACACACATTCGGGCTGGGGTCACACGTGCCTACGGGGGATGGGGAAGGGAACAGAAGCTCCAGCTCAGTAGAAGAGGATCTTCAGGGCCTGGGGTGGATCGCGAAGGAAAGTGGAGGCGGGGAAGCCGAGATGGCACTAAGCTGAGGCTGAAGGGTCACCGCACCAACTCCTAAGCTGGGTCCCCGCGGATCCCGACGCCCAGTGAGTCCGGCGCCCAGAGTGGGGGAGGGGGCAGCTGTCAGAAGATGCGTCTGTAGCCGGGAGCCGCCGCCGCCGCAGCCTTTATTTTTAAACTTCCAAGTGGTCAGAGGGCGCGGCGGGGGAGGGGTCGCCGCCCTGAGGCCGGCCTCATCCTCGGCCTCCCCCGCGGCCCCACGACCTCCTCCCATCTCGCCTCCGCGTGCCTCCTGGCATACCTGGGGGTGCGCCCGGACCCAGCTCCGCATGCGGGCCGTTTTCCATGGCTGCGGCGTCACTAGGGGTCTTGGGGGGGTCTCAGCGGCGACGGCGGCGGCGGCCAGCGGCCAGGCCAGGGGTCCCGCGGCGCATCACGCCCGGCCCGGCCCGGCGGGCAAGGACTCGGAGGCGGGGGCGCTCCGGGGAAGGTCGAGGCTGGCGACCTGCGAGGCTCGGAGTCGCCGGCTGTCCAGTGTCTGTCGGCTGCGGCCGCGATCCTGCTCCCTACCCGGCGCCGGCCCAGTCCCAGCCGCGGCCCAACCCTATTGTACCGCCCGGGCTGGGCCTGGCCTCTCCGCTGGCGCGTACCAAGTACGAGGCGGGGGGGGGCGCCCACGCAGCGCCCGGGATCATGTCGCCGCGCGCCCGCGCCGCCCGCCCCGCCCCGGCCCTGGAGCGCGGCGCCGGGAGCCTCCCGGTATCTCTTCTGCGACCACAGCGGGGTGGGCGCCACGGTTCCGGGGGGTCGCCGGCTGAGCTGCCTCCCCCTGCGGCCGCCCGTTGGTACGCGCCGCAGCGCGAGGGGACTATGTAGGGAGCGCTCGGGTGACTCACCCGCCGCTGGGACTGGGGGAGTGGGGAACGGGGCTGGGAGTCCCCATTCCCACCCTGGGGCTTGGGGGCTCTGGCTCTGGAGCTGAGAAGGCAGCATCAAGTCTAAATTCTCGCCCTAAGCCACCTCAAACAAAACCGTTCTGGGGGACGTCGGGAGGCCTGAAGGAGTCACAAGGAGACCCCTCTAAGGGCTACGCTTTCTCTCCCCTGGTGAGGGCTGCGATGAGGAGAGGTCTGGGAGGGAGCCTGGCTGCCGCCCTTCCTCCAGCATCCCAGGGCTGGTGTCTTCCCAGCTCTTCTGGGGTAATTACAGCCCTGCATAGCTGCTTTACCCAGGTCTCTAATCTGCTGGGTCCCTCCTGGCTCCAAACTGGGTGGTCTTGGCCCCGAACCTCCTCCACCCCAGCCCCACCGGACGACCCCGCCAATCTCCCTGGAAGGATCTTCTCCCTGTGGTCTGTCCAAGCGGCGGGCGATCAGCCCCTCCTGACTCCCCTCCCCAAAGTAGCCCACTTCCCAGCACTCTGTAGTGGACCCCCAGTGCCTTTGTTGGTGCCAGCTGAGGTGAGGGCCTCAAGCCAAGGCAGGCCCGGCCTAGGGCAGAGCGGGGAGCTTGCTGGGAAGGTGGATCGATGGTGGTGCCGCTGCAGGGACTGACTAAGGGAGGAAGGAGGAGGGGCAGCTGGGCCCTGCCCTTTGTCCTGACCTCCAGAAGGTCAGTTCTCTAGTTCTTTGTCCAGAGATTAGGCCCAGTGAGATGCTATCCCCCTGCCCCCTTTCCCGCCAGTGCCTCCTTCCTTCTAGCAACTCCAGAAAGCAACCCTTTGGAGAGGGAGGGTGGGGAACAAAAGGGTCCAGGTCTCCTGCAACCTGGGAGCAGCCTGTCCTGGAAGATATGAGTAGCTAGGGGATTAAACCCTCTTGGGAAGGCCTGGGGAGGGAATAGTGTCCCCTCCAGCTCAGAAAACATTAGAAAAGGATGATGATAGAAGACCTGCAACTGGCTCTTGTAACCTTGAGCTAGTGACTTAACTTTTCTAAAACCAATTGGCTCACCTATAAAATCAGGAAAATAATAGTGCCACGAGATATCATAGGGTCTTTGTAAAGATTAAATAAGGCAATGCAGATGAAGTGCTCAGCACAGAGCCTGGCATATAAGAAGTGCTCAATAGATAAGTATGATGATGATGATGGCTTTGATGATCAGGGAGCTTCAAAAGTAAAAGCGGATTAGGATGAGGTGCAGGTCCCCCATCTTTGTTGTCAGCAATCCCATCTGCAGGGTGGGGAGACCATGTGGATGATGGAGTCCATGATGGTCCTTTGTGAGGTCAGAGGCCTCTGGGCCTGCCTCTTCCAGAGTTGGACAGGCCCACCCTGAGCCAGGTAGTGACTAGACTTGGGAGAATTCAGGAACAGAACCCAACAGGGGGAGAGCCCTCTGGGATGGTTCTTCCCCCACCTCCCACCCCAGGTCTTGAGGTTACTGTAGGGATAAAGATGGGTGGATAGGAATAGTGAGATACCCACATTGGCTAGAGCTCAAGAAATGTGGAGGGGGCAATGGTAGCTAAAAATGAAAAGATAGGCCAGGGATAGCCCATGTAGAAGACAATGCAATTGACTCAGAAATGTAGAACATGGAGGGCTATTGAAGATCATGGGGTTCTGTAGCAGGGGAAGGGTGAGCAGTGCTTTAGACACAATCTACTGTGTCTAATTATCTGGGATTGACGTTGGGGAGCTCACTGAAGAGAGACTGTGTGGTATTAGCCTATATCAGTTGTTTTCAACCAAAGTCAATTTTGCCCCCCAGGAGACATTTGGCAATATTTAGAGACGATTTGGTTGTCACAATTGGGGGTGCTACTGGCATCTAGTGTGTAGAAGCCAGGGATGCCCCTTAATATCCCACATTGCAGAGGACCACCCCCCCCGCCACAGGAAAGAATTATCAGGCATAAAATGTCAATAGTGCCAAAGTTGAGGAATCCTTCCCTAGACTGACGGTGGAGGCACTGCACCCCCCACCCCCCCACCAAGATACTGGTGCTGGAGACAACAGGGCATCTGGGAGTTAAGCAACTTGAGGGACAGTTCTCCTGGCCAGCCCTGAAAGCTTCCTGCACAGCTGATGGGTCCACAGGGAGTCCTGGGAGGACAGCTGACAGGGCGCTGGAAGAGCTTGTGTGTCCCGTGATTGATGCAGTTGGGTAGACAGAGGAAGTGGGCTCCTTTCCATCCTCCTCCTAACTGGCCAGAATCCCTGGCAGATCCCAGGCCCCGGTGACCAAGAGAGTTGAGAGTGGGTGTCTCTCTCTGAGTTTGTGGCTGGGTGACAGTGCATGGGGGCTCCACATGGCCCCACAATCATTAGACATCCAAGAGAAGGAGCAAGTGGGGCACTTGCAACATCAGAGGCTGAAGCCCCAGTGGCATGCCCTGCCCTGCTGTCTTCAGGGAGGGACAGGGAACTCTGTTGCCTCCCATGGGGCCCAGGGCAGGCCCCTCCTCCTCCACAGAAACAGGCATGAATGAGTCTCACCACGGAGCTGAGCTGGGGCTCAGGGGGAGGCAGGTCACAGAATGGGAATCAGAAAAATGTCCCCATCCTGATTCCCTAGGGCAGGGCAGGATCAAGAGCATTTATAACCTCCTAGGCTTGGAGGGGCAGGATCCAGGGTGAACCTGATGAAGAGGTGAAGGAAATCACTGGGAGATCTGACACAGAGATATGAATCTCTGGAAGGAGGGCCTGGATGCTGCCTCCACACTCACCAAGTACTGCAGGAAGTGGGAGGGGCCTCATGGTGGGGGCAGCAGGGAGAACAGATACCAGATTTTCACTCCATCCCACCCTGAAGGCACTCCAAGAAGAAGTCTCTAACCCACACAGCTTTTCTGGGGAGCCTCAGCTTCTAGGGCCCACTTCCCGGGGCTGGGGGTTAGGGGAATGTCCTTTAGGGCAGTGGTGACACCAGCTGCCTCTCCCCCTCCAGCTCTTGGGGAGGAGGAGGAACAGAGAGAGATGGGAGCAGAGAGGAACTCAGACCCAGGGTTAAATGGGTTCAACCCTTTGGGTTCTTAGGAGGGTGTTTTTGTCTAGAACCCCTGATAGGCACAGGAAGCTGGCTATCCCTGTGTTCTTTTCTAGGGAGGAGATGAGTTTGGGAAGGGGGTGCCTGGTGTTCCTAAATGTCCTGGTCCCAAGAGGTGGTGGGGAGGGCTTGGGATTTGGGAATGATGGAAACTGTACTGAGAACCCTTGGAGCAGCTGTCTAAGGAGCTTTTAAGCACACACTGGAGCAAGGAGACCATATAGATCAGCTGAGATGGACCCCACTCCCTCCCTTAATTCCGGACTGATGACACTTGCAAGGATGGGTCTCAAAGAGAAAGAGATGCCAAGAGGAGGAATCACAGGCAGAGAGAGGAAAAATCTCAGAGGCTGGGAAATGGGCAGGGAGAGGCTCCACCTCCAGTCTCTCCAGAGCCACCCTGCCTGACAGCAGGCTGGGTGCGGTCGGGGGCGGCTGGCTGTGACTGTGACTCAGGTTTCTGTGGGCAGCCAAGGGCAGCCGGCAGGGAGGAGCCCAGATCGACAGACAGGCCGGCCAACTGCAGCTTTCACCTCAGCTGTCCTCCCTCCTGGGAATGCAGGAGGTTCTTTTCTAGCTGGGCTGGCCTCTGGGGGGGCTAGCTGACCCCTGCTTTCCTCCCCTCACAACTGGCCCTCATATTCCTTCCCAGAGCCCTCAGCTCTTGGTTACCCACCCCTGCCCTCCCCTGTCCCAGGCATTATACAAGAGGAATCCTCAGGGGTCATTGCCTCTAGGGAGGCCCCAGAATGTCTAAGCCACAGGGAGAAGGGTATAATAATGATTGGTCTTGTACCCTGAGGGAGGGACTGGGGGAGCTCCGGGCACGAGCTTTCAGCCAGAGCAGCCTGGGCCCCCCTAGCCTTCCCTAGCCTGGCCGGCTCGTGTCCGGACAGGTTGTCATGGTGAAGGCTGAGGGGCTAGAATGCAGCTGTCGCAGTCAGGCTATCAGGCCTAAGTGAGGAGAGGGTGCTCAGGGTCCCCCAGCCCAGCCCCCTCAGAGTTGGCCAGCTAAGGAGAGATGACTGGAACTGAAATCAATGAGCTGTGGTCAGGGACTGCAGGACTTCCCCTTGGTGATGGGTGAGGGTTCAGCCAGCATGTTCCTCTGGTGTTTCTGGGGCTTGATTTTTAGGCTGTCTGTAGAGGTTGGCTGGAAGGAAGGGAATACACATTTACTTGGTGCCTTTTATGTATCCAGCGCTCTGCATGCTCACTAGTCTTCACAACAACTGAGGGAGATCCAGCAACTTGCCTAAAATGGCAAAGCTGGGATTAGAACTCAGGACTGTCTGCCACACAGTTGGTGATCTTTCTTTTCCAGGAACCTGGAAGTGTAGCTGTTCTATGTGAGCAAGGAGGAGAAAGAGACTTGAACTTTATCTGAAAGACTAGATATTCCATCACGTAGCCACAGGTGGTAGGATGCAGGTGCTGGCTGCGTTTGCCCTTGGTAACAGATGGTCGGTTGAAGAGAAAGCCACTAGTGAACGCTTGGCACATAGTAGGTGGTCATTAAATGTTTGTATAATGAAGAAGCCAGATCTGTGTGAGAGTCATTGCTAGTTTTCTGGGACATCTTGGGAACTTCTGGCGCTGAATTGCAACAGCGGAAGAAGCTAGCTCAAAAGAGGGACTTTCCGAGACCAACCACCAACCCGTGCGAGAGAGGAATTCGCGGAGCATCTCTGAGCCCGGCGTGGGGGAAGGGAGAGGAGGGGAAGTGTGCGGATCATACAGGATTACTGAAGGCAGCGAACGCCACCCAGTGGCCAGAAGGTAGCCCAGGGGAA